CCCTCATGAATAACACAGTGTTGCTTCAAGATTCATTACATCTAAAACCTGTTGTACGCTAAATGTGAAGTTGAGATTTAGCTGTACTGCAGCTACACACACTCCTGAACATAAACTATTAGTAGTTTATCACTGCCACATTTTATTTTTATTCTTTGACAGTGACCAAGATTTTGGTCTGGTACCAGTGCTCATCTAGAGACACATCTGGACAATTCTGATTGGCCCAAGTTAAAAACGTGGTGGAATGGTGGGATCTATGCTGATTTAACAGTGAGGATAGCCACAGATTGGTACTGGAATCCATCCATTGCCCCAGTTTAGCTTGCTAGCACTGGAATCACCATGCAGTCTTAGAGGTAGTTACAACATACTAGAAGTATTCAGGATTTTTCCCAATAATTCTTTATTTTTGTTATGTATTCATTTGTTCTTTGTAGTCTGCATCACTGTAAAAGCATTGTTTATTCAGACAATGTTTGCTCTAGAAGTAAAGTATTATTCAGGAGAAGTTATGTTGGAAGACATGACAGATTTTCTGGGCCTGTCTGTACCCTGCAGCTGAGCATGGTGCAAAGATCACTGATGTAGATCTAAGCAAGCTGCTCTATCCACGTGAGTCTGTCAGTGCCAGAGATATTTGCTCAGGGCCCAAGTGCAAGATACCAAGGCATGACATTTGTCTTGAGAATGTAAATAAATTCATGAGTGGCACAAAAAAGGTTAAGAATGACTGTCACTGGTCTCTTCCATAGTGGTAGTGGGGATTCAAGAAACAGTGGGAGAGAATTTTAGAATAAAGAAGTGATGGTAATTTTTTTGTTGATGTACGGGCCTTCTTGCTGCAGGATGTTGCAGGTGCTGAAAGTTTATACAGGTTCAAGGAGGAATGCCCAAACCCATGGGTAAGAAATTCATTATTCATTACTAAAATCAATGAAACCATGTCTGGCTTTGGAAGTCCATGAGCACCTGAAGATAAAGCTGAGCGCTTGAATACTCGGAGGCATAACGTTGCACTCTGTTCTTATACTCTTCCCTATCCATCTTCTTTTGGTCACTTGGATTCAGAGTGGCTGAATCAGCACTGAATTCTTCTGCACACTATACTGCACCGTGTCCCTTAGGAAGTGAAAGGAAGCAATTGGGGTTGTCCACCTCACACATGAATTGTAATGAAGTATTTCATTCTGTGTCTCATTTGAAAGCTACCATGGAAAACATAGTTGAAGGTGGCTGGGTGGATTTTCCACTGGCTTTCATAGCTATGCTCTTGAAAGCCAGAAAACTGTATTTATATAATTAAATATTGGTGCACTTGGTCATTAAGAGGTATGGTCAAAGAATAGAGAAGGGCTGGAAAAAAATTAATGGCAAAAAAGCCATCAAGAGTACTAATCTGATGTCAGCCTCCGTGCTCTGACTCTTTGTCTGTCCTGCCAACACCTTCCTGCAGTTTTGCTTGATGCTTGTAGCACAGCTCTTCCATAACTGGGAGAAGATCGTTTTTGTGATGGATTGGTGCTCCATTCTCTGGAACTGGAATGACACTCTGAGACACTATATTTCTTCATGCTTAACTGTTCTTCATGCCAAACCAAATGAGTTCTGTCTTGATAGCCAAACCATCTGAGAGGGATTATAAAAGAGAGACTACTAATGGCTGTTGTTGATCATTCAAATGATATCTCATTGAATAGTAGACAAATCTGCCTGCTGAGGTCATACTGCTGTATTGTGGGACCTCAGCAAACTTGATAGTGTACTAGAGGAGTATAGCTAGTATTAACCTAGCAGTGACCCAATATGACGTTCTCTCTCTATATTTTTCACTGCTATCCCAGTTTCTTGGCTTGTTATGTGATGCATTTGCTATCTCTTTTATTCAAGGACTTCTGTTTGGTCTTCCTCCTTAGTCACAGAAGAGTAAGAAATACCAGTGTTATATTTCTCTTGAAGCCTTGCATTCTTGCATTCGTTGCAGTTCATGTGAAGCCATCTCTTTACACTCTGGCAAAGGGCAGTAGCATTTTTGAGGAGGAATTTACACTGGACTTAAAGGCTGAGATCTGCTACCAAAGCAGTTTCTTCTGCTTATGTCTTTCCTTGACACAAGTAAGCTCCAATGCACTGTGGGGGGGATATCTGATGATTTTCTGTGCCCCTCTTGCTCTTGCAGTTACCAACCTTCTCAATTTTCCTAGGGGCATTCTCTGATGTTAAGACAATGGTGTTTTGTTTTAGATTTGAGATCTACTGAATTTCAGAGATCATGTACTGATGGAACTTGCTTTTCAAATATTATTGTGTGTATTGGACTGATTATTAAAGAGAGAGTTTAGTCTTTCTTTCATGTGTTTGGATTTCTATCTTTCTAGATTGCTGAAAGCAATGACTAAGGTGACTATTCCATAAAGCAGCATTGCACTAGAGAAATGCATTTTTCTCTGATCCCCTATATGTGAAACTATTTGCAACATTGCAAAATCTAATTTCAGCTTCATGACTAAAGTCCTTCCGTTTCTCCAATGTCGTAGTCAAAATATGGGAAAAGGCATGTATCTGATATTGTAGTATTGAGTATGAAATGGGACAAAATAGAAATACAAATTTCTGGATTTTTGTCTACTTATGTGAATTGGACAGAAATTACAGCCTGCCTGTGTCTGTGCTTTGCTATCTGTAGAACAAGGATATAATATATTCCTTTCTTAAGAGTACTAAATTTGAGTTAATTACAAAGTCTGTGATAAATGTTAGAAGTTCAACAATAACATAGTGTGTAAGTATATAATATTAATGTTTTATAATATTATATCTCTAAACTGTCTCTGTGGATATCTTTAGTGAGAGGAATATAGTGATATCAAAAGAAGTCTTTTTTCACCCCAACCCTTTTCTTTAGAACCCAAAGTGAAAGCTGTTTCCACCAACTGCCATCTCTGTAACCATCTGGAAAATAACATTTTCTGAAGCTTTCCTTCTCTTTATCAGCTGTAACTAAAACTATAAAATGAGAAGATGTCCCTGCTTTAATTAACACCCCTGTAGTTCAAAAGCTTAGTAATGAGAGGCAATTATAGCCTTTATTGAGGGACAGTCAGGTGGAACAAATTCAGCATCCATCTATTGAAGACACTTCCACTTGCAGGTAATTTGGAAACTGCTTTTTACAAAGAACAGGCTACCTATCCCATTATAACTGATGAAGCAATTTGTTTTGTCACCTGAAAAGAGCTTCCTGTTTTTAATTTATATATTTCGTTTGCAAATAATTTCTTACCTCCCATGCATGTTCCAGTAACTAGCAACTGAGCTAAGGAAGTAAGCATAACTTTTTGGAGGACGTTCTTGCATCCTCCAAAAAGTTATGCTTACTTCCTTAGCCCAGTTTATTTTATTTTATTTGTTTTTTTTCTTTCATTTTATTTTCTTTGTTCTGTTGTTGCTTTTCAATTTGAAGATTGTCGGCTGTATACCAAGTGTTTCCTTAACCATCCTTGTATGGATATCATGGTAACTAAGGGGTTTCAAATTATGCTAGATGCCTCTGTATGGATTTTAATCTTCAGTATCTACAGTGCAGGTACCTACGTTGGTGGTAGCCACTGAAGGTGGAGTTCTGCTTTTAATGAAGATGCGGACATTTGGGTGTTTCCATGTGGTTGTGAACTTATGCAGTAGATACCCAGAATGTTCTGAAGTCATTAGGTATCTAGTCAGTCTGATGGGGACCTAGAGAATACAGTCAGTGGAACAGTCAGCAGTGTCTCTACAGCATAATGTACAGTAGACAGGTGTTGGAATGGCAGTTAAGTAACTCATCACTGCCTGTTTTCATTAAATCTTTGTTGACTATAAAAGTAGCCTGGACTACACATGTAGATCCCTAGATTTATGTATTTTAATCTTCAGCTGAAGTCTGTAGTGATTTCAGTTATAATCACTGTAGTGAAATAGGTGTATCCTGAGAATAAGTTAGTGACTTGTTTTAGGCATCTAGATGTAGATGAGAAATACTGCACTTGAGAAGTAAGGATTTCTGTTCATTGTCTTTAAGGGAAATCTATATAGTAGTACCCACATGGTCATTGCATAACATGCCTGCATGACTCCCAGCCATCCTATTTTGGAAGCTCTGGTACTATCACTTGCCATCTTAAGAAATGTAAAGCAGTGTGATGTGAAAAAATTGACATCATTTTGAAACAGAAACCCCTATGCTTGTTGGATTTAGAATGAGGGTCTAGCTGTGATTTTACTTTCTGGAAAGTATGCTACGAAACATGACACATTCTCTGTCCTGGATTAGTTTAGCATTGTGGCAAAATAACATTTCCCAGATTGTTTGAAGAAGTTGTAAAACTCTTAAGAGATGCTGGTAAGTTCTTTATTCTTCAGTAACTGAAGGTAGAGAAGATATTAAAATCCTATGACTTTCCAGTTTTCAGAAATGAGTGGCTTTCAGAATGGTGCCTGCGAGAAAGGTTTGTTCTGTATAGAAGACAGTTTTAAAAAGACTTCCTTTGTTCTGTGTCTGCTGGCAACAATATTGTTGACTCGCCATTGCCAGCAGACACAAAATTCAGATGCTATTGGTATATTCTGGTTTTGGGGCAGGGCAACACCAACTCCTTTCACAAATATTGTCGAGGTCACCTATTTTCAATATTTACAGTATTGCGTGTGATGCAGGATGAACATGAAATTTCTTTAGCAAATAAATGCATTATTTAGAAGACTGCAGAATTAAGGCGGATTGCTGATTCTTTCATCTTTCCCAGTCCCGTGTGTACAATCCTATTTTAATGTGTAATGTTTGCTTTGGATATGTGTGAAGAAAATGTGAAAATCCTGTGACTGTGATGCCCTCATAGCCGCTGTTGCTTTGGACCTGCCTGCAGCATTGGAATCACTGTGATTCGTGCAGCCTGTCTGAAAAGGGAGCTGTGGTAATCCACTAATTGCTGACTGTCCTGTGTTTTCATTGTCCCTCCCAGGTTACGGACATGCTGCCCCAGGAACAGACGCGGGAAAGGCCTTTTGCATGTTCTATGCGGTCCTGGGGATCCCACTGACACTCGTCATGTTCCAGAGCTTGGGCGAGCGCATGAACACCTTCGTCAAGTACCTCTTGAAACGCATCAAAAAGTGCTGTGGGATGAGGAGCACCGAGGTCTCCATGGAAAACATGGTCACTGTGGGTTTCTTCTCCTGCATGGGAACACTCTGCATTGGAGCAGCAGCCTTTTCCCAGTACGAGGAATGGAGCTTTTTCCATGCTTACTATTACTGCTTTATAACATTGACTACGATAGGTTTTGGAGACTATGTGGCCCTGCAGACCAAAGGGGCCCTTCAAAAGAAGCCTCTCTACGTGGCTTTTAGCTTTATGTACATTCTAGTGGGGTTGACAGTCATTGGGGCATTTCTAAATCTGGTTGTTCTCAGGTTCTTAACCATGAACAGTGAGGACGAGAGGCGGGATGCTGAGGAACGGGCGTCCCTGGCAGGGAACCGCAACAGCATGATTATCCACATCCAAGAGGACTCCCAGCATGGTCGGCCACGGTACAAGGCCGAAGTAACAGACCTTCAGTCAGTTTGTTCCTGCATGTGTTACAGGTCCCATGAGTACACCAGCCGGGTGGTGTCCCACCAAAATTCGTTCAGCTCGAAGCTGAACCCCCAGTACTTTCACTCCATCTCTTACAAGATAGAGGAGATCTCGCCAAGCACATTAAAAAACAGCCTTTTCCCATCTCCTGTCAGCTCCATCTCACCTGGGTTGCACAGCTTTACAGATAACCACAGGCTGATGAGAAGGCGAAAGTCCATTTAAAGTGATTTGTCTTCTTTTGCTTTCCTTGTTTTCTCCAGTCCTTCTCTGTTGTTTTGTTTTTTTTGTTCCTTGAGTGAGACGGAGTGAGGCCAAAGGGAGTAGAGAAAGCCAGTCCTCCTCTGAGACTCAGCTCTTGAGCATGAAGCATGGATTATTACTGTTCCAGCAAAGTATGCCTTACATTACCCCCTCGGTGGATGTCAGAGGATTCAAGGTGACGTGAAGTGGGTACCAAATCCAAAGTTGCACACACAGCTGGGAGCCTTCATGTGCCACTGGCACTCCTGACCTAATAAACTATTTTCCTCATGGGCAGGTTGCAGTGTGCGTGCGTGCTTGTGTGTGTGTTGGGTGTGTGTGGGTGCGTGCGCGTGCAAGTCCACAACTAGTGCCATGCGACAAAAATTAAAGCATCAGGTATTATTTTTTTCCCTTGAGGCAATTGTGTTCCAGCCTGCTTTTATCTTTTTGATTGCTTCCAAACAGAATGGGGAGGTGGGGAGGGGAGCCAATTTGTTTTTTTTTATTTGCCAAGACAAGCATGCGCCATAAGCAGTCAATATACCAGGTGTATCATGATAAATTTTTTAATGCTAGATTTTAGATTGTATTATCATTACAAAAAGGCAGGAAATGATGGATCATTTTAACTTGCCAGTTCAAAATTTAAAAAGTAAAATAAAGCATGCACTTTGTAAAACTGGTATGCATAATAAAAACACAAGAAAAACTAGCAATGGAATTAATAATCAAAAGCAAGTAATCCTATTGATTTAACTATATTTACTTTCATCATTTGAAACTGTTCCAACAATCTGCAGATGGAATTATTTAAGGTAAATTGGAAGAACTGTTGGAACTAAGGAGTGTGTTTTGTTGTTTTTATTTTATTTATAAAAATTATTATTAATAATATTATTTTTATTTTATTATTATTATTTTATTGTGCAGCAATTACCTGCATGAATAGGAATTCTATTTTTTGGAATGCTTGGATTAGGATGGGTATAAATAGGTGGATGTATATTTTTTCTTATATAATAGTGACAGAGCATTCCTTGTTTTAAATAAAAATAAAGATGATTGTCTCTAAATGCTTTTGATTTGTAAATAATGGAAAGCCTTTGTTGGTCTCAGGAAGAATTCAAGGGACAGTATCTTGTGTTTGGCTCACTGGGAACTTGTGAGATTAGACGTGATATTGCTTCTTTGCTATGTGGAAAGGCAAAATGCATTAGCACTCATGGGCAAAATCAGCTTTACTCCAGTGTTTAGAGGTTAACACTGGGAGTGATTGCATTGGCAAGCTGTAGTAGGCAATGTTGAGACCATGTGATAGAGTTGTTCCTTGGAGATCGTCCATTGCTTGGTTACTCATCTGGACCAAACAGACTTTACAAAACCAAATTAGAGGCCTAATCCAGCTCCCTTTTAAGACAATAGGAATTTGCAGTGATTACATAAGATTTACTGCTTTGGGAGATTTATCTCTGATTTCACGGGGGTAGGACTGGGAATTTTATAAACCTGCAACATTGTCTTTGATTTAATCCTATCTTTTAAATCGCCTTCTGTGTTAATTTGTCATACAAAGCACATCTTTTTTTGGCACTATGCACCTCCTGCTGATTCTACTATTTTGTGCTTTCAGTGTAAAAGCAATAATCCTCTATATTTTTCTTTTTTCTTTTTTTTTTTTTTTTGGTAGATAGTATGTTTTCACAAAAAACCCAGTTCTGAGCTTTGTGTGCTAATGGACATTGATATCCTTTCAAAAGGGCATCTATGAAGAGCATTAAAAGGAATATAAGGATATATATATGTCCTTCTTTTTCTGTTCTCCTTGACTTTAAGTTATTAACAATATCAAACACGTTTGTGTTCTCCTAATTTTGATATTTGTGTTTCAACAAGTAAATGAAAAGCAAGGATCCGTACCTATAAGTTCAACATGTAACTTCCTTTGGGATTTTAAAATGCTGTGGCATGAAAATCTCCATTAAGATTAGTGAAAAAATAACGAGGATGATAATAACGTAATGAGGATGGATGAGAATGGACTTTTCTAGCCTAGCATATGGGAATTACTTTTGTCAGTGTAGTAGGAGAGCATGCATTAATGATGTGCTGCTTGCACCATGTCCTGAGGCAAATGCTGAGGGCAAAAGTGTTGAAGCAAGAGTACCTAGAAAAGCAGCTTCAGGATGTATTAAAGCACTCCAGTGAAAACCACCTAGAAGCTAGTTTCTGAAGAGTGGCCCATAGGGTTCACAGTGCTGTCAAATTCTCTTTCATAGATTTGCTGACAGTATCCCAGAACTGCAAATAATTGTAGGTTTCTTTTCTTGCTAAGGAGATAAGAAAGAGTATGTACACGTCCACATCATGTGGAAGTGCTGATGTATACATGACACTTGGGAAAAGCAGGAAATCTTTGGGATGTTACAGATTTCAGGAGGGTGAAATGCCATCTGCCTATTGAAGAAGAACGTTTTTAACAGGACTTGTAAGCAAAACTTTGAACAGTTTTGTCAAAAACCAGTTACGTTTTTGAAAGCATCGCTTCACTTTTCATTTCTTCCTTTTAGAAAAAGAAAATTCTATTTCTGCTGCATACAAAAGTAATTTTAAATGTGCTGTAAATCGTGTTGAACTCCAGAATTTCAAAGCTGTTACATATTCCAGCTGAGCTATTACTCATTCTCCTCTCTGAAACCATAAATGAAGTTAAATGAAGGATGTATTTTAGTACAGGTAGTGTTTAACCAGGGGAGCAACTTATCCAGAGGGTCATGGGTTATCTGCCAGTTAGAGTCTCTGTGTTAAAACATAGTGGCTTTCTAAATGCTCTTGTGTAGCATAGCCATAGTTTATGGATGTGGATGATGAAATGTATGTGTGCTGATAGGAAGGGGCCATATCCATAGCCATACTTTTCAGACAGTGAGTTTGTGGGAGAGCATTTGGGAAAAGTGTCTGCATTCCTTAGGATTTAAAACTATTTTCATACAGTTCTGCTTTCTGTCTGAAGAACTCACGATTCTGTCCATTCTATATTTCTGGTGCGCATGAGATTTTGAAGTGGCAGGACATTTCCTTTGCAAGCCTCCTTGCATTCAGATATTCACATGAACTCCTACAGAACTTTTTTTTGTGAGCAGCCATAGATACAAGAACGCTTGTGTGAAGCATCAGTAAACCAGGCAAAATATGCTGAAAATGCTTCTCTCTTTTTTTTGTGGTACTTGACTGATGTGTGAATAATGGCTTGGGCTGTCTAGAGCTAGGACAGGCAGCATTATAAAAAAGTTGCTTTTGTCAGGGTTAATACCAGCTTTCCAGCAGAACGCGCAAAATCAGTCAGTGAAAGGTGATTTTTGTCTGTTCCATTTCTGACTACTTACTGACCTATGTGAATATCAGCTTTCTTCTCACAGTGCTGTTTTTCATAGTATATTTTCTCTGATACGCTATTGGTTTTATTCCACTTAAGTTATTATTTCTTTCAGGAGAGCCTTTCTTGCTCTCTACTCACTCTTTAGAATGTCTTATGAGAAGACATTCTAATATCCAAAGTACCTAACCTATGTTTCCATAGCACACAGACTTTTGATATCACTTTGTGATGCACTGTCATTCCCCAGAGTCTCATTTCCCCTATTATTAAGCATTAGAAATAATAATAATAAATCAGATTAATCTATTTATGTCACGCTAATGTGCTGTTCATCAAAACAACACAAATTTAGCTCCCTGCTGTCAACTTTGATTACATAACAACCCTATTATCCTATCATATTTCATATTATTATCAAAGGAAAAAAAATCAGTTTGATCAGTGCAGCACCAAAATAGCTTTGTCTGAGCATGCTGTGATGTGGAAACAAAAGGGGAAACAATAGAACTGTAGAGGCACAACTCTGCTTGGTCTGCATCACTACACAAGGAAGATCCCAACTGACCTAACTAGGGCTTCTTTGCCAGAACTTTGTATATATATGTATGCTTTACAGGGATAATTGTAATGGAACTTATCAAGATGGGGTGTCTGGATGTTAGTTAAAGGATACAGAATAGGTTCTTGGTTGTTACTGTATGGAGAAGATGTACAGTGATATTCAGCAATAGACTTCTTTTTGGATTCCTCTGTAGTAGCTCATTAGAACAGAATCATCAGCTTAAAGGAAAAAAAAAGTGACTAAATTAATCTACTGTATTATAGGTTGTCTCATTAGTTTTCTAGTGCTTCGATCGAAGAAATGCTAGATCAATAATCTTGATTTCTGTGCATTCATCTTGAGCAAGGTAATTTCTTGTTTTCGGTGATAGTTTGAAGCTTTTGTTCGGGGAAAAAAAAAAAAAAAGGAATCATTCATTGTAGAAAGCTTAAAAAGGAGCAGCCAGTGTAATCGGGATGGAGAAGGGAAATGTTCCAGAATGATTTGCTCCTCTGTGGACCAGAGAGCAAGGGCTTGGGTGGAAGTAGCTTTCAGTTGAAGTTTATGTCCTCATTTAGCTTTATGTAATATTCCTGTTAATATTAGGATCCAATTAAGACAGTCATTTAAAATCTTTATGAGGAAGCGAGACCAGAGAGATGTGTTGGAGTGTGTCCATTACAGTAATGTTATGGACTTTTTAATGCATATTTCAACAAGACACTGTTATTGACTGGAATCTGCACAAATTACAATGAGAATCGTGCCACCGCTACTGTCAACAACTAGAACTGCATAATACTCACAGAGCTGAAAAAAAAAATAGTCTTTCTAAGCAGCCTGCCTGTCATCTGTCTTTAATATCAAACCTTATTTTGGGAACTTCAGTAAGACAAACCATGTGAAAAGGATTAACCACCATAATGATGCACCAAAATAAGAATAAATAGAATAATGACATTGGACACAGAGAAATTGATTACAGATGGAAGGCACTTTGGGATGCTTACGCTAGTTAATCTGAGCTCTGAGACTGAATTAGAGCCATGAAAACTGTTGGCAGCTTTCTCCAAAAAACACAGTTTGCAATTATTTAAGATATAGATAACATCTATGTGGCAAAAAAACCTTTCACCATGAAAAGAAAGACAGTGTTCTCAAGAGGAGGGGTAGTTTCCAATCAGAAACACCAGTGAGGTGATTCTGAAGACTGTTATGCTTTGATCTGGGTAGAATCAGAGTGGGAGATGTTCTCTGCTCAGACTTGGCCTTACTAGCTTGAACAAAAATTGTCTTGTGGATGATTTTTGCTCACCACTCCTGTTTCCTAACTCATATCTGAGTTCACATTCATGACTCTCCTGATCCGTGCGTCAGGTTTTTGCTGCTTTCTTCAGTGAAAGCAAGATGCTATTCAGCCTGAGTAATGCTGATATGTTTTGCATACCCGAGGTGAATGTTACAGCTGTTGAGCTGGCCCTAGCCAGACTATCCTCTGGAGTTGGTGTCTTTATGTTGCTGTGAACTGGTAAGCTAAAGAGAAATAAAAATCTCAAGAGCAATTTTTTTTGTCATGTAGTCTTTCAGTATGGTAAGCTAGTCAATTTGGTTGCAACACCCAAAACTAGGATGAGTCTCTATTTATACATCTCTTACTGAAACTGCAATCAGAGACTCTTTTTACATACTCTGAGATATATCTGTATCCAACTAGTTCTTGCCATGAATAAATTTTCCTAAACCTAATGATGGGAGTAGAAAGACTTGAAGATAGCAGTCAACATGTACAACTTAGGCAATGCGATTGTAGTTTGCTTTATGGAATCCAGGCAACCAAAGCTGGCTGCTAATTTTAGGCTTGAAATATTATCCCCAGAGTCTTCAGCATTCTGTTGTCTCTCCTTTTGTGAACA